AGTAGACGCTTGTCTCCAGACACGTCCTCTTCGTCATCTACATCGCTGTCACCGTCCGTACTACCAACGCACACAGGGTCTCCGAGATTATATAAAAAGACATCAAACTCTCAGCTGACACCCCAAAGGCGTTCGAATTCGCGTCAAAAAGCGCAAGCGCAAATTCCACCCATCAATACACTTTCAGCAATAGAAGATAATCAATCTATAGCTTCTTCAATTAGTGATTCGCCGATCGAACGACCTTCCTCATCTGCAGAACCGGACGAAGCAAAAACGACTGTAACAATTAATGTTGTAGATCCTCGGACTGAACAGGTGATAAATGGTGATGTTCCTCGAGAAAATAATTTCCAGATAGAAAATATTTCCGACAGCCATTTGGATGCGAATGATTCCCAATCAGGTATTCATAAATTTTCTCCGGAACATGCACAAGAACACATTGAATCATGGAATAGAAACTCGGTCTCAAACGGAGATGAGAATAATAGACGGATAGCCTTGGACATGATGACATCACCATCTATTTCATCAACTCATGATGCATCACCAATATTGCACAAAAAGAACTCAAATACTCGATTAAAGGAACATCGGAGGCAAAATTCCCGTCAAAAGGATCAGACCGTTTTTGTCGATCAAGAAAGCGATGAAGGATATCAATCAGACCGTAACGTAAATCGCCGAAATTCTTTAGAAACTCCTGTCATAGAAAAAAATTTTCAAGATTCAACTCAAGAGGATGAAACTTTTATAAAACCTGGGCACAGGAGACGGAGGAGGAGAACCAGGAGTTCTAAAAATAACAACCAGCAAAATTCACGAGAACAGCAGCGCCCTGAACAAAAATCATCAAAACATGAACAAACACCGAAGCATGAACTTGTACAACATAAGGTTAACGAGTTAACTAGATCGCGCAAGTCTAGTGATTCAATTAGGTCAATGTCATTCGCTCCTTTGCAGAAACAATTGCATGTACAAAATCCCGCGCAGCAACAACAACCGAATGAATTGAACAAATCTCTTCAAATTGGAGATTCAACAAAAACAAATTGGCCAAAGTCAACGAATCAAAACATCGATGCTTTACAATTTCAATCACAACAACGACCGCATCAGCGTTCTGATCAATCAACCTATTTTCCTTCCGTCAATAAACGTAATAATGTCCCTATCTACCAACAACCTTCGAACGCCACAACTATTCCCGCAAAAGCCGAGTTGAACAAAAATACGACCATATTCCGAAGATCAGAAATACTTGCGTCACCTCATACTGAAATCTCAACACAAAATACCCATCTGATTGATCAATCGAATACCGATACCCCCATGACAAAGTTTACTTCCTATGCTGATGTAATTTCACCTCATAATCGAAATTCTTCAGTCACAACGAGAATTCCTCAGACAATGAATTCGTTGTTATCAAATGAGGTTAAAATTACAACACCCGCCCCAACTGCTTCTGTAATGAATGTTACAAACCGCCAATGGTACTCACCTTTCGGATCTGGTCTCTCTATTCAATTTACCCCACCGACCTCCCCCAAAAATAGCCACAGCAAGCTGCCATCATCAAAAAATTCTTCACTCACTTTTGCTTCAACGTCTAACTCTTCATCAACTATACCTGAACGACATCAGTCAGTGATTTCACCACCACCCCCAATATCTGCCGCAAACAATGCGTCTTCATCAATGTCGATGTTTACTTCTTCACCTTTTTCTACTCTAAACACATCTTCATCGAATTTAAATCAATTAAATTCTATGAACGCATTGTCGGCCTCATCTTCATTAAGGGGAACATTCTTCGGTAAAAAACATCCGATTTTGGACAAAGAAAAGGGTGATATGTCTGATCA